CCTGCTGAATCCTCTGTCCTTTTCTAACCATGGGAAGTGCTATTAAGGCCATTTGGGATGCTTGTTTAAAAAACCATATTGCTGTGTCCCACACTCACTGTTTTTCTTTTTTTTTTTTAAGTGTGATTTTTAGCATATTCACAGAGTTGTGCGACCACCCTACTAATTGTTCATCACCCCCAAAAGAAACCCTGGATCCATGAGCATCCAGTGCCTGTTCCTCCCTTCCCCATGGCCCCCCTGGCCACCACTAATTTACTTCCTATTTCTATGGATTCACCTGTTCTGGGCAAGTGAGGGGCCTGGGGAGCTGGTGGGTGCTTTGGGAAGTGCTGAGGTGCTGTCACAGGCCTGAACACAGCTTCAGTCCTGAGGCATCTGCCTGATGACAGATGAGGCAGAGCCCCAGGGAAAAGACTGCCCCAGAGTTAGGTGACTGGAATTTATTACCTTGAGAGAGAAAGAGGTGCTTCTAATAATTATGCAGGGACATGGGGCATAAAAGGGGATGTATGGTTGCCCTATCAATCAGAATGGCGAGAGCTCTGAATCTGGAATCAAAGGCCAAGGCTGAAATTCGAGCTCTGCTTGTTCACTAGCTGGATTCAACTGGACTCAACCTCTGACTCCCAGTTTCCTTGCCTGGAAAGGAAGTTCCCAGGCTTACCTGGGGTACAGCTCTGTGTGAATACCAAGAATATGGGGGTAATGGTGGGGAGGTCCAGAGTCAATTCTATATATTGTGGGTCATGTAATTTGATCTATTTAAAATGCCTTAACAGGGCTGAGAATATTTGCATGTGAGTTTCTGAAGACAGGTAGCTTTATACTCCTGTGGAGGTAGATTTCAAGTGAAAGGAAGCATGACATCTTGAAGTGACCTGAGTCCTTTGTCCACGGGTATCTGGAGGTTGTCAAACAGTACACAGAAAATCTAACAATGTGCTCTGAGGACCCTTTTTTCTTTTGAAATTTTTGATATTCTTTTCACCCTTTCTGGCAGCAACCTTACTGAGATACATTTCCATAAAGTTCCCCCATTACACTTCGCTGGTTTTATTCTATAGTATCCTCCCAGATTTGTACAACCATCACTGCAGTCAATTTTAGAACATTTTTATCACCTTGAAATGCAACCCTGCAGCCTGTAGCAGTCACTCCCCATTTCTTTCGTACCTCTCGGCCCTAGGCCATTACTAACCACTGGTCTCCGTTCTATCTAGATTTGGTGGGGACCCTTTATTTATTTATTTATTTATTTATTTATTTAGCAGTACGCGGGCCTCTCACTGCTGTGGCCTCTCCCGTTGGGGAGCACAGGCTCCGGACGCGCAGGCTCAGCGGCCATGGCTCACGGGCCCAGCCACTCTGCAGCATGTTAGATCTTCCCGGACAGGGCACGAACCCGTGTTCCCTAGCATCGGCAGGTGGACTCTCAACCACTGCGCCACAAGGGAAGCCCGGTGGGGACACTTTTTAAACTTTGCTTTTTACCACCAAGTGAACTTGGAGGAGTACCACAGTAAGAACTTTTCTCCTATTTTGATTTTCATTCTTTTACTCTAATGCACAGCATGGGAAGGCTTCTAGGAGGATGCTGTGACTAACACGCAAGCCTTGGAGGGACCCCTGAACTAGGTGACTTCCAAGGTGTGTCCAAATCCTTAGACCAGCTACTAATTTGGTCAGTAAATAGCTTGCTGCAGCTCATTGCCACTAGGTGGTGCTGCTGCGCCACCCCACTGACACGCAGCCCTTGCCGGGGTGGGTCACCGGGGTTCCCAAGTGTGGGAGAATCCATCCTCTTGCCTGGACACCAAGAGTGACCCAGAAAACTACAGCCAGGTATATGCCTGGAAGAGAAAGACAAAGTAGGCACCCAGAGCACCCAGGAATTGACTGCCAATAATTATAAAGGTGGCCCCGACAATTGTAATCGTGAAGCAGTAATCTCTGCTATTTACTGAGCATACTGGGTACTCTTCTAGGCACTTTGCACACATCATGTCTAATCATCACACCCAGCAAGGCACTTGTATTATATCTGCTTTGCAAAGGGGAAAACCAAGGTTCAAGGATACAAAGTGATTTGCTGGTGGCCACATGATCATGATTCAAATGCAGGTCTGGGGTACCAGGGCCCATGTCCTTCCAGTACATACTACTGCCGTGGGCTCTGGCCTCCAGAAGTTGCCAGAGGTGGAGGGAAGGCAGCAAAAGTGCCCAGTGGAGACGTCTGGGGAGCGACACAGCAGCACGCACAGATCTGTGTCAGCTGACACGCCAGGGGAATGAACAGTGGATGAAGGGGAAGAGCCAGGGCACAGACATGCGCTAAGGCCAGTGGAGACCTGGACCTACCCTGGATGCTGATAATGTTCTTGGGAAGCAAAAGTGATAATCACAGTGTTCTAAAACTGGATTGTGGCGATGGTTGTATAACTATAAATTTACTAAGAACCATCAAATTGTTTGCTTACCGTGGGTGAATTGTATGATATATGAATATTCAGAAAAGCTGTATGAAGTTTATAATCAGGAAACCAATAGCGATGAGGGTGCCAACTTGGCAGGTCTCAGCAGTGCTGTAGGCACTTTGAGAAGAGAGGGAGAGTAGCATCTCAGAGTAGAAAGCCTGAGCAATGGCTGTCCAGCATCTGCTTGAACACTTTCGGTGTCAGGGAGCTTAGTACCTCATAAAGCAGCCCATTCTAGTTTGAGGTAACTCTCTCTAATCCTTAGAAAGTTGAAATCTATCTCTTAGCCTGTTGTGCAGAATAAACCTCTTTGCTTTGCCATATACCATCTCTCTCAGCGCTTGAGGACAGTCGTTGCATTCCCCCCAAGTCATTTTTATCCTGTATAGAAGTCCCCAAGGTTTTTCAGAGGACAAGATTTCCAGCCTCTCCCGTTCTCCTAGTGGCTCTCTCTGCCATACTTGCTTTGATCTGTCAGCATCCTTCCTAAAATGCGGGGCCAGTGGTGGGCCCGAAATTCTGCAGATGCCAGCCCAGTACTATGGTTAACAGATTGGATCCTAGAGTTAAGGCTCTCTGGATTCAAATCCTCACTCCACTACAGGCCAGCTGTATGACCATGGTTAAAAGTACAAACTTCTC